TCGAGGCATGACGGCTCTTGACATTTATTCCCAAGATACCGCCCCCCCTTTTACAGTACTTGATGTTCGACCTTGCCATTTATTCCCAATGACTAGCACCACTACTTCGCAAGCACCACTCTACTTTAGTCCTTCAAGCCTAACTCCTCGAGTCGCATTAGCTCTTGACATTTATCCCCAAGGCCTCAATACTCCTCTACAGAAACTTGATGTTCGGCCTTGCCATTTATTCCCAAGGCCTGAACTGTGCACTGGTCCTTGCCGTTTATCCCCAAGGTACCGATGACTTCCCAGCGTATTGGTCCTTGACATTTATCCCCAAGACCCCAATACTCATTTACAGAAATTTGACGTTCGGCCTTGTCATTTATTCCCAAGGCAACTACTCAAGGCTTTGAACCTCCAAGCGATTTATATGCATTTTCAGATCRGACCACCCATAGTTTAACGGACTGCCAACCCGTCCCTTCACCCTTCACCCTTCACCACTCCCACTAGCCCTCCCAAGACCACCTACAAGTATATTTCCCACATTCCAATTCACTACACAGTACACAAGCATGCTTTTCTTTGTAATAAACAAGTCACACCCAACAACTCACAACCAAAACAATATAAACTAATTATCAATTTAACAACGCGAGCATTTCATTTACAACATGATTGCAAAACGTCATGAGCCAGTTACTTTTAATCACAACAATTCAGAATCTACTAGTCACCTCCAACAATAAGAATAGAAAGCATGTTTCCTCATAAGTGTTCAATAATAGAAAGGCGGCAACAAAATCACTAGAAGTTCACAAATCAAAACTAACAATCCCTACATGTACAATTAAATGATTTTAACTAAAAATCAGCATCAAAACCATTCTGTGAACGCTAAATAACGCACGAACTCGCCCCCTGGTGCTACTTACCCAACCACATCCTTAAGTTTGCGTCGAACTCACACCTAAGCACAAAAACGGAAAAAAAAACAGCAATATAAATATACTGTTCAGCCTTGGAAAACAACTCTAAGAGGGTTCAAAGGGTCTCATTACCGCAAAACGACTTCGTGTAGGTGTGGGTAAATGAGATCTAGCTTGCAAAGGGGTGGGTAGCGTAAATCGGGCTTCGAACGGATGAAGATAATCGCCGGACCCGACCCAAAACACTACTGTCCACGTTTTTTTTACAGCAGCGAAAAACGCCCAAAACGACCTCCAACGGCTTTGATTTGATGTCCGTTACTAAAAAACAATTTCGCTTAGGTGTGGGTATTCCAAATCGATTTCGTTTAGGTGTGGGTAATCCAAATCTAACTTCAAACAAGGGTGGGTCAAAGAAAATTACCGGGCTTCCTGGATCTAAGCTATTCGAGTCGTTGGAGTTTGTCGGATCGAGGGAAAACACCGCGAACAGCCACCACGTGCCGCCGCTGCACCTGCTGCTGCCCGACGCCCGCACCAGCTGCTGCCCGACGCTGCTGCTGCCGTGCTGCTGTCCCGACGTCGTACCTGCTGCTCCGATGCCGCCTAGTTGGGGGGGGTGGCCGGCGGCTTCAACAAGAGAGGGAAAGGGAGGAAGAAGAAGAGGAAAAAGAACAAGGGCTAGGGTTATTTGTTTTAAACTTTTAACTCCTTTGAGCTTGGGTTCTTTTCCTTTTGTTTAAGGCCCACTTACCCAACCCCTCCTTGTTAAAACAAGCCAATAATATAATTTCGTAATTGGCCCAATGGCCCAAAACAAGTGTCGCATAACGGAATCCGTACTAAACCATAATTTGATAAATAACTACACGCGACTAATTCACCACTAATTCTGTAGCAATACACAATAACCGAGATGCCACACTTAAATTAAATAAAGATAACTGATGAATCAAACAAAATAAAATGAAATAAATAAATAAATAAAATCTATTTTGTTATAAAAATTTCCCGGAACTCGAGGCAAGCTAACCTGAGTAACGCGGGGCGTTACACATGTATACATGCTATTTTTGTTATTGTTGTAAGTCTATATAAAGGCACGACATCATCCTTTTTCAAATGAATAAAACTAAGCATTTGATATTCACATCATATTAGTTTGCTTCTGTTTTTATTTTATGCATAGTTCCATTGTTTGTTCCCAAAAAATTTGGTATCAGAGCACGGTTTGAGAGAGTGAGTCGAGTGTAAACACATGAGTTAGAGTGTAAACACAAAGAGAGATCGATGGGCAGCAACGACAATGCGATGAGTGCTGCACAACCACTAATTCCCATATTTAAAGGAGAATGATACGAATTCTGGAGCATTCGTACGAATACTCTACTCAAATCTCAAGACTTATGGGAGTTGGTGGAACAAGGCTATGCAGATCCTAACGACGATCAAGACAGGTTGCTGGAGAACTGGAAGAAGGATTCTAAGGTGTTGGTGATCATTCAACAGGCGATCCATGACAGCGTCTTCTAAAGAATTGTAGCGGCAACAACGTCGAAGCAGACATGGTCTATTTTGCAGAAGGAGTTTCAAGACAATTCGAAGATCCTTGTGATAAGATTGCAATCACTCAGGCGTGACTTTGAGACCTTGATGATGAAGAATGGAGAATTGGTCGCTGATTTTTTGTCAAGAGCAACGACAATAGTCAGTCAAATGCGGTCCTATGGTGAGATGATTACCGACCAGACCATTGTTGAAAAGGTACTTAGAAGTTTGACTCCAAAATTTTATCATGTAGTAGCTGCAATAGAAGAGTCAAATGATTTGTCGGTGTTTATATTTGATGAACTAATGAGGTCTCTTCAAACTCATGAGTCAAGGATTAACAGATCGCTCGAAAAAGCATAAGAAAAAGCATTTCAAATGAAAGAGGCAGCCTCCAAATTTGGAGAATGTGATCATTCAGTGAATCGAGGCTGCGAAAGGGGAGGATTTTGTGGTCATGGTCGTGGTATCAGAAAAGGCAGAGGAAGATTCAAAGGATGGCAGTCCTACGAACAAATAAGCAACATAAATGTAGTTTGGTGTTTTCACTGCAAAAGATATAGGCACATAAAGACAGACTGTGGTACAATAATCAGATAGCCAATTTTGCAAAGAATGAAGTATCAACGAATGTTGGAGATAGTAAGCTTTTTATGGCTCATGTTGAAACTAACCAAAAGGCAAGTGATATATGGTTTGTAGATAGTGGTTGCTCAAATCACATGACAAGCACAAAATCCATCTTCAGAGAACTTGATGAGGCAGAAAAGATGAAGGTACAACTCGGAAATGGCAAGGACTTACAAGTTGAAGGTAAAGGTACGATTGGTATTGAAACTTGCCATGGTAAACTCAAGCTCCTTCATAATGTCTCCCTTTCTTAACCAAATCACGGATGAAATGGAAACGAATATCAATGGATTTCGTCCTGCTATGAAATGTTGGATTCTTCGTCATTGATATCGTTGCTTTGTTGTCCACAGAATATCTCCGTTGCTCCCTCTTGCTCCTGTTGAAGCTCCACTAATATTCTTCTTAGCCAAATTGCTTGACACGCGGCTGAAGTTGCTACGACGTACTCTACTTCTGAAGACGACAATACCGTCGTGGCTTGTTTCTTTGAACTCCAGGTGATTACTCCCAATCCTACAGTAAACATATTTGCTGATACGCTCCGCCTGTCATCCAACGAACTCGCCCAGTCACTGTCCATGAATCTGCATAGCTTGAAATTGGATACTTTAGAGTACCAAATTCCATACTTCATTTTTCCAGCAATGTATCGAAGAACCCGCTTCGCTGCTCCAAAGTGATTATTTGATGGGTGTTGCATAAACCTGAAAATAACACCAACAGAAAATGCAATATCGGGTCGAGTGTGGGTAAGATAAATTAAGCCTCCAATGAGACTCCTTAATTTTGTAGCATCTGTCATCTCATCTCATTCATATTCATCTGTGTATGTTAGGTTGACTTTTTACTGCAGAAACATGTGTCGGTAGCCTTATTTGACCACGTTTTTGACCTATTTCCCATTATTATTTGCCAAAAAGGACCACATATTCTTAAAGTATAACATACATAGATTATTTCTGCAGAAAAGTCAAACTATGGTACTTTAGAAAAAATATGAGATAAATGCGGTCAAAGTTGGAAGAAAATAACAGAATTCTGTTTTTTTGCATAATTGCGCCCGGCGCATTTTTAGAGGGCAATTTGTCAAAACGCACGTTTTGATTAATGAAGGGCATGGAGGACATTTCCCACATTTTCAAAACCGTGAGTCCTAGTCCAAGTGAGGTGGTTAGGTGAATCTCAACCCTTTTCCACCTAAAATGGAGGTGAGTTCAACCAACCTATGGTGCTATAAAAGGAAGTCATCAATCCCTCAGCAAATCATCCCTTCCAAGCTTCATTTCATCTTCTTTTAGATGCTCTCTAGTTGTAGATTACGTTTTTAGGGTTTATGTTCATGTTCTAGTTGTTCATTTCTTTGTTTTTTCACGCTTTTATCTTTAGTATTGCTTTTAATTCAAGTTCTTACTTCCGTTCTTTGTTCATTATGTTCTTTTAAAGCTCTTTAGCGAGTTTCAACTCCCCTCACGCTCGAGAGAAGAGGGTCAAGCTAGAACTCCTTGTACGCCTCATTTATTCATTTAAATTCAATGAAAAATACTTTCGTTATGTTTACGTGCATTTACTTTCATTTAATTATGTTCTAAATTAATTATCAACCTCCTTGTGGAATGCCTTAGTCAAATGATTTGATTTTCAACACGCTCGGGATTTTGGCCAAATTGCGCCTGACACTTTTTTGGGTTGGTTTCTAAAAACTTCTCTTTACGTCTTTTTTCATTTGGCCAGTGGGAACTTGATTTATACACCAAAGCCCAACCTTGGGAAAGACGAGTTAGGTAAAATAATAGGAAACCAATATGGGATGTGACTTAGGAATAAGTGCATAAAACATGGTCCTAGGCATAGGCCCTCTGACCCATAATGCAAATGAGTTGGTAGATATTTTCTAGGATTGTAATCACACATAGGAATATGATTGTTGGTTACCCTAGCCTCTACAGCAACCAAAAGCGGTAGTGAAAGAGTAGAACTCAAATCCGAAGAAAAGTCAGGAATTGCGCTTGGTGCATTTTCCCAACATAGTGTGTTTTCCATGTTTTGCATCAAAACTAAGGTAGGAGACAAGGAGGTTGAGTTTCATTAAATTGCTTGATAGTTAAAACCCCAAACAACAACATTTCACCATTATTTTTTTTTCCTAAATCACAATTTCATATTTGAACCATTTCACTGCATTACTTGATTTTGAAAAGCAACAAGTCTCTGAAGATTCGACCTTAGATTACTTCTGAGTATTACTTGTGACCGTGTGCGCTTGCACGAGTCTCTAATATTTTTGAAGGTAGAGAAAATCCCAACAGTGTAGTTACAGGCTTGCAATTAAGCATGTCGAACTTGTTGAGAAGATCATTGGCATAGTTTCTTTGCGATATGAAAATTCCTCCTTCAACTTGATGAACTTCAAGTCCAAGAAAGAAATGCAATAAACCCATATCTGACATCTCAAACTCATTCTTCATATGTGACTTAAACTCAGTGATAAGAGATTCAGAGGAACTAGTATAAATGATATCATCAACGTAAAGACAAACAATGATGAAATCATTTTTACCTCCCTTTTTCACATACAAGGTGGGCTCGTTTGCACTTCTTATGAATCCATTTTTTTGAAAATAGCCATCAATCCTACTATACCATGCCCGAGGAGGATCTGCCATCAATTCAGGAACAACAATTGGGAAATCAAAGAATGAGAACATGTTCTTTAGGTTGTCAGGGATTATCCCCACTTGTCAGACGGATGAGTAAATTGATGAAGTCACGTCAGCGAACAGTTGCGTTAGAGGAGATGAACCCATTAGGTATTGAGGTAAAGAATGAAGTTTCAATTCTTGTAGAAGGCTTGAATAGAGTTGTCAAGTCATCAGTGGGAAGTTCTTTCTTCAAGAATCAATGTTTGAGAATGAAGAATGAAGCTTTAGATATCACCACTTAGTTTGAGTGGGAGAACGTCGCTGTGTCTCTTGCGTCTAGGAGACAAGACCACGTAGATTGCCCAACCTCAGGGCAAAGATAGATGAGACCAATGATTTCTGATATTTTGTTTTACAAGTTTTTAGACATGCAGGAGAAGCCTTGAAGATATTTTCAAGAAGATCAGAAGTTGTTGCAGAAGAAACCTTGGAGTTTTCCAAGATTATTAGAGACTGCAGTTGTAGTGGAAGGCAAGATCGATGTTCTGTCTCAAAGGGGGAGATTGTTGGGCTAATGAAGCCAAAACAGATGACCCGTGTCCTACGAGGAAAAAGATTTTTCAACACTACTACCAATTCCTACAAGGAGTAGGATATTATTGTCTTATAAGGATTACAATATTATTTTCCTATAAGGATTGAGATATTTGACCTCTGTTTGGGGGTAAAAATACCTTGGACACGTGGAGGACGCTTATTGGTGTTCAAGGATTAAAATATCCCAGGTCCACCTCGAACCTGCCAAGGAGGCGAGGTTCGCACATTAGAAAAGGGCTAAGTATACATGCCGAAGTTCGACCTGATTGGAGTTCGATCTGCTCGAAACCTGACCGGTCTGACATGAGGAAAAAAACATGTAATCGCCGGTCGTGAGTACTGTCGGATCCACCACCTATAAATAGAGGCCTCATTTCATGCTCAGGTATCGAATCTCACCTTAAGCTAAATACTGAGTCCGACCTATACTGACTTGAGCATCAGAGTGTTTACCCTCTTGTGCAGGTCCACTCTTGAGTTCAGGTTGAGCCGGGGACCGGGTTCGAGCTTGGTTAGTAAAACAGCGTTGTGCAATCCCTTGCATAAACATTTGGCGCCGTCTGTGGGAAAGGACGATCTAAGTCATCCCGACCTAAGAGCGTGAACAAAAATGGTTCAGCCAGCAAACTCAACCAACACGACCGACTGAAGAGCTCTGGTAGCCAATGATGGCCACTAAAGGGAGGTCGGAGCAGAAGTAGTAGAGGGACAGGTTCATAAAGGCCTTGGGACCAAGCCTCTCCGTAGATCGGCACGCATAACCACGCATGTCCTGCCACCGGCACATCCAAAGCCGTCTACGGCCAATCACGGACGAGGTGGTGCCTCAAGGAGAACCACTCGGGGACCAACCCCGGCTCCTACAAGGGA